TTTTATGATAAGTCCAATATGATGCACACCAATTAGAAAAAGATGATGGGTGCCCCGAGACTTCACATCCGATAATTCCTATAAAAATGAAATTAGTAGCCAAATATATTAATTATAATACTATATTTTTGCATGGTGGTCACAATATGTCAGTGTCTTACAGCGTTTCATTTAATCTGCACTCAATGCCAGTAGGTGTTGTTATTAATAATCCCTTTTTATAGCTGAAGAATTTGAAGCCCAGAGACAAAGCACCTTGTGCAGGTTAACACAACTAGCAATTTGTGGGGATGATCAGGCTTTTAACTCAGGCTTGTGTGAATTCCACAGCCCAGGTCTGGCTGCCAAGCAAGTAATCTTAGAGTCTGACTCTTTTGGAGTCAACTCTCTTGCCCACACTTAGAGCTTTTGTGTTGGATCATGAGAAATGGGGAAGTGAGACCTGCATGAAGTTTATATTTTTATTATTTTTAAAAGGATATGTGCCCAGTGGTTTATTTTCAAATGCCTTTCTAGTGCTTTTTGTGACAAGGGATAGCCCAAAGCCTCTCAAACATTACTATTCAAACAAATCACTGGGTATCTCCTTAAAAATCAGATTCTGGTTCTGCAAGACTGAGAAAGGGGTCTAAGATTCTGCATTTATAATAGCTCCCAGGAGACAGTGGTGCTTTTGGCATGGGGCCACACTCGGAGGAACACGTCTACTCCCATTCCATCTGAGCTGCTTGTTCCTAACCTCGTGATATCCTCATTATGTCGAAGTTCTTCATATCTTTCTGTATGGTAATAGACATCTTTGTATTAGCCTATTTTCTCAGAACCTAAAGGAGACTTGGATGGGATTAATGGAAACCAGGCATTGAAGCTGAAGAATGGAGGCAGGAAACTCCAATACCCGACTGCCAATCTCCCTTCTTTTCATACTCAACTATAAAAACCATCTGCCTTGTCTTTCCTATTTTTTTTGTATTAATCTTTCAGGATGTGAATGTGTGTGTATGAATGCATGCACATTCATGGGTGCTCTGAGGCTGAACAGACAAAGTCAGAGACAGTCACTGGATTCTATCAGCTTTCATCCCTCAAACCTATAGGGAGCAGTAGAGATTGGGTCTCCTAAATGTCCTGCTATTGGTGGTGTGAATCAATCCGCCAGATGAATGTGAGCAGCTACAATCTTTGTCATGTTTAATTCTGCTTGAATATACTAGTTGTAGGTATACACCTGTTTTCATAGCTAGAGACAAAGGTGTGTATGTGTGTGTAAATGTGTGTGCTGTGGGTTGGAGTGGAGGAAGGTGGTTAATAAGCAAGTCACAAAGATATGGTTATAAGTGCATATAGACATGTACTGCTCAACAACAAAGACCCATTGTGAGAAATGGGGCAGTAGGTGATTTCCTAGTTGTGTGAACATCGTAGAGTATAATGACACAAGCCTAGACGGTACAACCTACTACACACTTCAGCTATAAGGAACAGCTTATTTGATCCATAATCAACCAAAAATTTCATTAAACAATGCGTGGTAATAGATCTAAACATGTAAATACAAATGTGTGATGGAACTAGAAGGTTGTGATCCTGGTAAACTTGGCTTTAGTTTCCTCTCATTTTCTTGGAAAGATATCCAGGCAGCTTTAGGAAAGTTATTCAGTATAGCAGGCAGAATTAGGTTCTTGTTTTGGTTCTGTCAGTAGGTACTTGTGTTATTTAAGCAGATTGTTTTTTGTCTCTGTGCCTCCATTTCTTTGTAAGTGAAGTGAGAGGATTAGGCCCTGCCAACATCCACTCCTGTTTCTCACCCTATATGCCATCGTTGCCTTTGCTAAGGAAAAAGGTAATGCAACCACATTGGCTACCATCGTCTAAGTGCCCAGTCCACTATGGGTGATAAAGCGCCAAACCTAGGAAATATGCAAAGTTTCCTTGACCCAGCAAAATGAAAATTTTTATGCTTAGCCTCATCAACTTTTTTTTTTTAATGATCTGTTTTTGCTCAGCTGAGCATGATGTCCATGTTTGTTTATGAACTCATGGCTGAATCATGTAGGAATCGTTCTTTGCTAGTAGGATAGGTCAACTGATCTCACTGGACAAACAGCTTGAAAGATCCATCAAAGGAAGGAAAGCTATGTGAGTTTTACAAAGGATGACACTATAGAAACCTTAAACACTAAGCTCTGGATCTCGTGCCCAGGCCCAGGTTAGCCCTGATCTGCAGTCGATTAGCTTTAACTTCTGTCTAGAATGAAGCATCATTTCTATCAGCAGGCTGCAAACTCTGTCATAACCCTTCCTGAAAACTTGGAAAGCGATCAGGCTTGATGAGTTTGGTGGCAAGCTGGGGCACGAGGTATTTGGAGAGAGAGGTCCTGCCTCTCATATTCTCCACCAGCTAACAGGAGAATTCAGAACAGCTTAGCGTACTCAGCTGAAAACAAGAATTTTTGGCAGAAGTAAAGGAGGCAGAAATGTTTTAGTCCTTCTCCATTGATGGAACCGTGGCAAAAGACAAATTAGAATATTTGGAAGCAGGCTGGAGGGACGTAGCATGACACATTAGAAATATCCATTTGATAATTAAGCACCTGAATGACTTGTAGATTAGAATTTAATATTCTAAGGAGTGAAATGAGATGGCAAAAGTGAAAATGTACTACAGTGCTCCCAGTTCTCTGGTTCTAAGGAATTCTACCCCTGTTTACGAGGAAAATTGTAGGCAATTTTAGGGTACTTCACATCTGAATCAATTTCCTGGACCAATTCTAATTCCATCCCGAGCCAAGCAAAAAGAAAGCAAACACCTGGCTGATTTTCATTCCATTTGTTGCAGAATATCTTTGGGTTCTCTCCTATCCTGCTTCTCTTCCTCCCTACTGCATCTCTAATTTTGTGTCCTAGCTGTCTTTAAGCACGGTGGTTCTGTGTGCCATTCTTGTTAATTTTGGAAAGGACGGCATCATAGGATTATAGCTCTTGAAGCTGGTAGAGACAGCAGCTAGTATCTGGTCCAGATCGCTATGTTGGAGCACACATTGAAGCCAGATGTATGTGTACCAGTGAAGCAGGGCATTGTGTTGGTTCTGGATCCCTACACTGCTTACCTCCTGGTCTCCTGAGGAACCATGGATTAGGACCCACTGCAGCAGCCAGATCTACTCCCAAGAATGGAGCAAAGACCTACACCTTTCAATTCTTCCTCAAGTATGAATCTGTCAGTTCTTTCCTACCTGGTCTCTGTTATGGGAAAGCATAATTTTAACCTTTTTAACAAGAATGAGCACCTTTTCAGATCCTACTTGAGTAATCCTTGTTCTGTTCTGTCTCTCGGCAGTAAGCATTACAACAAATTGCCTGATGCAACATAAACAGTTTCACTTAATGCAGAATCTGTTTCTCTCCTTTACGGAATTGAAAGGAGGTAATTCATTGTATTCCAGTAGCATAGTAATAAACAGAAAGTTTAACAGAAGAATCTGGGTGCACGAGAGCACAAATTCAAATGCTCCCCTCTCTATTATAGCAGCACAGAGCCCAGATTTTATGAGATTGATCCGGGTCCTTGGAAAGCCACACACATACACACACAATCTCTCGCACACAGGGTATGTGTATATATAGTAAAACTTCATGAAAGCAGCTATCTCCTGGAAACCAAACAGATTTAAAGTGGCATTCAATGTTCCCTTCAACCTTGCAAACAGAGCGACAGAGGCCCCTCTTAACCCGTGGGCTTCCTTTATCCCAGGCTAAACGTTTGCTTTGAAACGGACTTGCTACTATGGGAATGTATTTCCATGTCTTTTGATTTAGACTAAGCAGATTTTTCAAGTCTGGGTGAAAAGTACTGTTTGACATCATTTATATCTCAGCTTTTTAATTAAGAGTCTATGGGAAAGGATCGTCTATAGAACACAATAGACAAGGATCGTGTGTAGAACACAATTGAAACCATGAATAGACAACTATGAATGCTGATATATAGAATGGCGATATTTTCTAAATGCCATGAACGTAAATGAATGGCAGTAGATAAGTGGGTCTGGTAGTAATTATTTCTCATTTGAAATCTAGGGTGACATGCACAATCTTTAAGGGGACTATTATTGATTAGTCTGTGTCTCATGCTCATATAATAAACTTGGGGAAACTTTAGAGATTGTGTCTTCTAGTCTGGTTCCCCAGCTCCAGGTTTTTCAAGAGGGAGGGAGCACCTTGCTAGCCACTTGACCAAAACCATTTATCTGACTACAGCCAGGTGAGCAATGGGGAAAAAGCCCTTCTCCCAGTTTCATTCTCAGAGACCACAGAGGACGGTCAGGATCTCTGTATACAGCCTAGTATACCTGTGCTTTTGGGGGTATGATCATCACTGTTTGTCCAAGTCACTGTGTGTGTGTGTGTGTGTGTATGTGGAGGGGGAGGGGTGTCCACTTTGGAGCAGAGATCTGACTGATGTCTCCCATTAGTGGTGTCCTGGTTCCTTTAAGGAAGCAGGCAAATGAATCTGGCCATTTCTGAAGTTTGAAGGGTACAAAACAAACAGAAGGTGAATGGAGGCTCTGATCTCTGAGCCCTCAGGATCCCACCCCTGGGTCTCTGCATCTTAACCTGGCTTTTAGCAAAAGGGCCAGTGTCCTTCTTCCCAGCCCATTGCCCAGGCCTGTGTGGAAGAGGCCTGGCAGCCGGTTCCTCTGGGGTTGAATACCTACTCTGGGATAGAGTAGGTCACTGCTCAGGTGCAGGGGAAAGCTCTGATTTAGAACAACTGAAGTGGAAAGGATTTTTTCATCATTGCCAAGAGCTACTTTGTCTTAACACCCTTAGAGTTCCCCCACCTTGTTTCTGGCTGCCTTCTGCTCCCCACCACCCAAGCCCACAGCCGGCCAGCCAGCGCCTCTCAGCCCTCAACATATAGGCACCCTTATTCAACCCGCACCTCCTGTCCCTTGGCAGCACTCTGGCTGAGGACACCGGGCCGCCCATCTACTTACCCCGGGCCAAGTGGTGTGTTCGGATCTGCGTCGTCTGGTGTCCGAGAGCTTAGACTTGTGGTGCCGATAGCCCTCCTGGATTTGTCTTCCGCGGCAGCCGCGCGCAAACAGCAGCCGCCTGGGACAACCCCTGGCCTGGAGACTGCCAGGCGGGTGGGTGGATGAACACAGGGAAAGGGGCGGGGTGCAGTGGGGACACTAGTGCTGGTTCCTATCTTGGTTCCTCCCGTGGCTCCTCAGTTATCCCCAAACTTCCTTGTGGCTGGCTGGTCCTGCTCACCTTTCGCCTTCGCCAGCACCCCCACCCCGCCCCCCAAACTCTTTGCTCCACCGGCGTCTCCTTCCCGTTTGCTTCTCTTGGCTCTCTGACCCGACCTGGGCCCCTTCAGATGCACGCACTCCTTTCAGGCAGCTAGGCGCAAGATAAGAGCAAGGAAAGAAACTGGCACCGGGAAATTGACAGGGGTAGCAGACACTGGAGTGTGAAGGAGAGACTGAGAAGACAGAGGAAGAGGGGGACAGAGGGAGAGGGGGAGAAGGGGAGCAGGGAGAGGGGGAGAGAGGGAGGGAGGGAGGGTGGAGGAAGGAGGGAGGGAGGGGGAGAGAGAGAGCCGCATTCACACTCTTGCGTGCACACAGGCTCACTCAAGCTCCAGCTGCTAGGTGGCGGCTGGGGGGAGCCAGGGCCACCCCTCCAGATCTTTTCAGACTAGAGGTTTCTGTCCCCTTCTGCAAAATGCTATACAGCGAGGGGGAGAGAAAAGAAGAGGGGTGGGGAGGGCAAATCGAGGTAGCAAGCCCCCTTTCTCCTCCCCACCCCTGGCTCCAAAAATGTCCAACCCTGAGCTCTTCCTTTCCCTTCTATTTGCTTCTGGCTCTGGCTTCCTTCAGCTCCTGTTCTGTCTCCCTCCCTTTGGGTGGCTGTGAGCTGCAGAGAACCCGTCGCGGCTGTGATATGGTTGTGTGTGTGTGTGTGTGTGTGTGTGTGTGTGTGTGTGTGTGAGAGAGAGAGACAGAGAGAGACAGAGAGAGAGAGAGAGAGACAGAGAGAGAGACAGAGAGAGAGAGAGTAGAGAGAGTGGGGGGGGCCGCGGTTGGCAAAAGCACCTCTCACCTCCCCCAGCCTGGGCCCGAGCCTCACACACGCTCCTGGCTGGGGCGGGCGGGGCGGGGCGGGGGAGGTAGGGAGGGGGAGGGAAAGAGGGAGGACGGGGCAGCCTGCAGGGGCAGCAGCTCCCGCTTTCTCTGCAGCTCGGTGGCCAGGGGTGGAAGGAAGCCGCAGCCGCAACCCCGAGTCAGCCCCCGCTGCCCCGTCCCACCGTCTCATCTCTCCCCCCTCGGTACGGAATTTGCTGTTTCGTTCGTTTGCTCTCCCCGGGCCTCCCCCTCCCCTGGGTTCTGGCAGAGACGGGGGGGGGGGGGGGGCTGAGCGCGGCGCGGGTAGAGGGGACCGGAGCGCTTCAGGCTCAGAGCTCGCTAAATCTCTTTATGCCCCTTGGCCTGTCCTGAGAGTCCCCAGCTTTGGACAGTGACTCCCACCCACCCCTCTAAGCCCGGGCTTTGGGCTGGTGGTGGTGGTGGTGGCAGGACTGCGCTGGCAACCGCGGGTCATCCAAGGGGAAGGGGAGTTGGAGCCAGTGAGAGCGCGCGTGGGCAGTGGGACCGGGGGAGTCTCCAGGGGCAGACCTGGGGGTCGTTTTGGGCGGGGCTTCTATCCCAGACGGGTCTGGTGTGAGCCAGTGCAGGCAGCCGGCGGTAGGCAGTGCAATTCTTGCATCTGTGCCTGTCTCCCAAGACCCGGCCTAAACTGAAGGGATTGGGGATGGGTAAGGGAGTAAGTTGCTAAGTGGTGGCAGCAGCGACTCTCCGCGTGGCGGCCGGTGCGTGTGGGGGAATGGTGTCATTGGACTCTTTGATCTTTGCACCTTGGTGTCACGTGAGACACCTCCTCCTTCCTCCCTCTCACCCTTTACTCTGGCTCCCAGAATATGGACCCCGGGACCAACTGAATGGCTCCACTTCTCCCGCACACCTGAGACTTCCACAAACAGGTGCCCGAAGCATCTCTTGGCATGGCCCCGTAGACACAAAGTGCAGCTTGGTTTTTATTCTCTCTCTCCTGGAAGTGGGGTACAAGACTTTGATCTTTGGACACTGGGCCAAACCCTTCCCCCTATGCATTCTCAGACTAAGCCAGAACTCAGAGAAAGCCCGGCAGTACTTTCCACCTTGGCGTTAACGTCAGGCACATACTTCCAGGCTCAGTCAGGAACTCCAGTCAGAACTCCCTGCACTGTCTAAATGGCCGAGTGTTCCCATCGCCTGGTGCTTAGCTTTACTGGAGTGCTAGCAACTCTTCTAGGCTATCCTAGGACAATCCCCGGAACACCAAGCAAGACCCCTTTCTTACTTTGAGCCCCCGCCGCCTTCAGGGTGCCTCATATTCTGGAGACTATTAAGCTTTTGTATGGGAGCAAGGCACTGAAAGAAAGTATGTCTTTGGAGGGTGAAGAACCCTTGTTTGTGTATGTGAAGGGGGGTGGTGAGGGTGGAGCTTCCCAGTCTATACTGTTTAAACTGTTCAGGGAATGTTTCTCAAGTGATGGTCAGTGGTATTATAGATGAGAAAGAAAAGTCACTTGATTCTGAAACTCTCTTCCTATTCCCATTCAAAGGCATTTTTACATACAGCTCCCCAAGCATAGGAACCAGTGCTGTGGTTAAGCTGGTGCCTCTTTTGGCTTGAGGGATATGAGCAGGGTGTGCGGCTTTGGCTAAGACTTTGGAGCATCTCCATTTCTCTGGCTAGGCCAGTCAGTTGAGGATCCACGCCAAGCCTAGGGTGCAATCAGAAACACTAACCAGAGAGTAGGAAACTCCTGTTAATGTGAGCTGATATTTAATTTTATTATTTTAAAGAAGATTTATTTGTATTTATTTATGCATACAAAAGCTGGGGTGTAGGCCAGAGGTATTGGGAGGGGGGTGAGAGTATTCACCAGCGTAGGGAGCAGAACAGGCAGATTTTAGTGAAATACACTGCTGAAGAGAGTAGCGAGTGGGTGAGACAGAAGAGGTCTGCTGTGCCATGTGGGTCAGCTCCCTGACTGAGTTGAACTCATGCTGTAGTGACTACCAATAGCTTGATAGTGCTGAGACTTTAACTCCTTGCACCACCAGGGAGACCCTGTGAGCTGTCTTTTGAAAAGACCCTAGATATAGTGCAGTTGTCTAACACATAGGGCTCAAGAGTGTTTTTGAATTTTGGTGCTTTCCTACTCTGTCGTGGATAAGATCCCAATTTTTCTACTGGCTTCTGCCCTGCCCTGCTAACCTCTGTAGGAAATCAGGCACATATAAAAGAAAACCCTTCCCAATGTTAAAAGCACCATGCAAATGTTAGGTATTGCAATACAAATTCCAGGACTAATGTACTGGGCAATGACCTAATGAAAATGAGTTGACAGGCAGGAGCTCAAGTTTGCATAGGCTGTTTTCCAGGCTTGGAGCTGGGTGGTTCATCTTCTCTCTGAAAACGAAAATATTCACGTTTCCCCTGTGGTGACTGAGGTGAACATTTGTTTGAATCAACTCTCCCAGGGCAGCTTGCAAAGTGGTTCAAAGCCAAAGGTGGAAATGATTGTTAATAATTTAAGTGCCCATCCCCCTCATTTCTCAGACAGGTATAGTCGTATGGTTTGGTGTCTTCAAACATAGAAATTTGACTGTCAAAATGCAGAGACTTAAATATTTAGGGACTCTCTTTTCTTTACTCTTCTTACAGCTGTAATATCATAGGCAAAGAGAGGCTGATAGAAAGACATTTTCTTTTTCCCATTAATCATGGTTTCTAAACCTGGGCACTACTGACATTTGGGGGCAGTTGTCATCCTACTGTACTGGAGTGGCCTCTTGCATTATAAGCTGTTTAGCAGCAGTCCTGGCCTCTAGCTACTAGATGCCAGCAATGCTCCCCCGCCCCCTCATGACAGCTAGAAATGTCTGCAGATATTGCCAGATGTCGCCCAGGGCACAAAATCATCACCCTCCCTACTGAGAACCACTACCATTTAAAGTAGTGTCACACTTTAAAGATCATAGTTTGCCCACATGACTTGTTCAGACTTTGTATTGAACAGCATCTCATAAAGTTGAGTATTTTATGAGGACTCAGCATAAAAAGAAGTCCTCACTAATCGACTTTTAAATTAATTATTTTAATCGAGGTAACATTGGCTTACATTATTGCTACTATTTTGGAAGTACAGATCTGCCGCACAACCCAGTAATTTCATTGCTAGGCTTTTACCTGAAAAATTCAAAAACACTAAATCAAAGGGAAACTTGTACCCCCATGGTCATTTCACACCTTTTACAGTAGCCAGAGCATGGAAAACAACCTAGGTGCCCCCAAACAGGTGAGTGGTTTCAAGAAGGTGTATTTTATATACACAATGGAATATTATCCAGCAATCAAAAACATTTTATCATGTTCTGGAAGTTTTACATTTTGTCATGCCATTTGCTGCAACATGGATGGAGCTGGAAGGGATAATGCTCAGTGAAGTAAGTCAGAAGGAGAAAGATAAATACTGGATGATGTCGCTTGTATGTGGAATACAGTGAGACCATACTAAGGGTAGAATTAATTAGTTTTGACAAATGGTTGAATTCATTGTTATAAACCCTGCTACCTCCCCATGGAGGGAATATTTTTTGAACATTCACTATGAGGAAGTTCATTATAGGAAAGGTCTATAAGGCATAACTCCAGCCTTTAGTATACTGAGAAACTATCAAACTGTGTCCTCAAAGGTTACAGATTTTCATGGATAACCGATGCCTGGACTGAATCCTACCGGGCTTTCTCCATTTCTCCCCATTTGCCACCAGTGACTTATTCTGTCTTAGGGAGATTGTTCTTTGTTTCTCTAATTTCTGTAGCCTTGCATTGACTATTTTGTGGATTCTCTATAAGTGGCACTTGTGCCACAGTAGTGTATCCAGCATTGAAATAACCACATCAAAAAAGGTTTTAACAAACTGAGCAGTTTGCAAGCGGGTTTTTGTTTACAACAGAGATGGCTTTAATTTACTTGCATGCTAGAAAAATACTCAAAAAATGTTAAAGGCAAAGGCAACGGAGTAGAATGCAAGAGATGGTGGTTAAAATACTGTGGAGTGGTGAAAAATGTCTTGGTGTGATTGTGGGTTTTAACACTCAGCAACATCTCTGCCCCAGGAAGTCATGCAACACTGATGTGAGTTGCAGGATCCTGATTAGGAATTCTGCAGAGGATAATGCAGGAAGAAATGTGGAGTATCTGTTCAAATCAGCTGAGTAAGCTCCTTAGAAAATAAATTTCAGTGAGCCAGACCTATATCGTGTCACTTGCTTTGAATAACTCCTAGTCCAATACCAGAAGTTATTGTAAAGACCATCACAGACAGGGGCAATCAAAACATTCAAACTGAGAAACATTCATAAATTCTGATTCTCTGGCCAAGGCTTATTATTGATTTGAATAAAAGTTTTACCTATGTTGGGGCCATGAATGACTATAATTGGGACACATGTTTCATTTTATAAAAATATGTTTCAACTCTTTTTTGTCCACTTTTTGAAAATACATTTTTTTCCAAAATATATTTATTGATGTAAAAGAGCTTTATATCTTTGTAACTGCTCCTGGGGTTATACGTTCAAACCTCTACGAATGTGTGTTTTTACACCCTGCCCACCACCACTGCCCCCCCAACCCTCCACTATGTTCCCCTTGGTCAGCTCCCTTCCCCCCCACTCTCATCTCACCACCCAACCCATCTGGTTGCCTCAGTTTTGCAGTCAGATGTCAAGAGTTTACTATTGCTTGGTTGTGACTGACCCTCTGTTAGGTTTCTCTGTATTCCACATATGAGCAAGACCATTCTGTCATCGTCTTTCTCCTTCTTACTTGCTTGGGTCAGTATCCCTCTAATCAATACACAAGGCTTTGAATTTGTTTATGGTTTATCTTAATCAAAAAAAGTGTACATGACCATTCTCCATGGGTACTCCATGAGCACGTTGCTGTGCTTATCATTAATGCAAATACAGCTGGAGCTGACCCTGACAAATTTGTCAAGTGAAATTACAGAATATTAGAACACATTAGATTAGCGAGAAGGACCTTGCCTGAGGTTCCGGACTCGTGACATCAAGTCATGTTGTTCTGTAGCGGATTCACACTGTGGCTGAAGGAAGGGCAGGTTTAGATTTTCTTCTGCCAGACCCCCCCCTCTTAGCTTATTAAATCTGTCCTCACAAAATGATATGATTTGTTCCAATCAAAATATCACT